GATTAGTGAGTGAGTATCACTAGAGGTGCGTATCATCCCTGGAGATCCCTACTGATACATTATCAAGAGGATCCATCGATGTGAATGACATTACGGACAGGTTTAGATGATCGAAAGTTTCAGAACTCCTGAAACAGGTGAACTACCTACGGCGTTGCGAAAAAGTGAGCTTCCTACATACGAGGGTGCCCTAAAACTAAAAGCCTCTGTTTATCCTAACTACACGAATAAGAGATGCTCAGGTTTTAACTTACTCTTTGAATATTACTTTTTAGTGGCATACATTACCCAGCGTTGTCGCTCAGTTGATCAGATGTAATACAGCTTACAATAATATATCCCCCGTTGTTTGGTGTCATAAGTGTGAGACCACTAGGTATTGGAGATGTAGACATCGGTGGGAAGTCGCAGGCGAGACCCTTCGATTACTTTGCAACACACAGTTTTAGCCAGGGAGGGTATGAAGGAATCTTGCTTTAAGCGATGCAATTATTCAAGGATAGTGCACCAGGGTTTGGCCAACGCAAATAGGTACACCGTGTGTATATGTATGCGAAGCGTGTGTATAAATTTAAATTACTCCTTGATTTAGGCCTGTTCACTAATTTTTTATTTTACTAGTTTGTATCAATTTTATTTTACTTTAATTGTGTTAGAATCTGAAATAATTTCCAGTCCTACGTATTTATAATTCGACCAAGTGGTAATAAGCGAGAATCATCGAATGAGATTTGTTGCATTGGGGAGGCTTGGGCTTTGGATGATTGAGGGGGAAACGCGTCAATTTTTTGTGTGGCCTAAATTAGTCGTCGTGATAGCTGTCGGCACTGTCAAAGTGTTGAGATTTATAGCTGCTGTCTTTCACGCCAGGACTTGAGAATCAACTATACGCGTCACTGTTATTTCATCCTTAGAAGAATGGGTGGTAGCTGGAGACAGTGATTACTGTTTCTAGACACACAATAGGCTGGTGTGAGGAGAGCACCAAAGTAGACCGCTACGACAGTCATGCCAAGTTCTCCAGGGACTGTTTGCACCCTTCGTTTTGCCCCCCACATCAGCCTTTTACTTGGTAGACGACTGTCATTCACTAGATCCATTCCTTCGCAAATAAACGAAAATTGCCCCAGGGACATCGCAAAGATCGCTGTAGAGAGAGCCTTCTGTAATGGATATACTTCCCACCCCACCTAGCTATGAAAATACCCGTAGGAATCAGTTCTCATATTAAAACCTCGTGATTCTATCTATCACCCCTGTTCGTTGTGCTGAATTACGTTCACTGGGAGTTGTCAGAGGGCATAGCTTTTGAAATCCGCTTCTAATCACCCATAGCGCGTCTGCATCGTCGTGGTATGTCCATCTAGCCTCAAATAAATTAATGCAGGAAATTAGTTAGATGTATGTTGGTAATGTCTCTCAACAGGACAAGGAGAAGTCGAAAAAACCAACGGATTTGTAGTATATCATTATCTAAATACTGTTTCCAAATAGATCTAGTTGTTACTTGAAAGCAATATAATATTAGGACTGATGGAGGAAAATATGAAAACTGCGCGAAAAGTGATTTCGCCGAAAACTGTTGGTCTAATAGGTACTTAAGTATCCTTATTTTTGTATTTTCGGTGTTATTTGAAAGAAATTACTCAGAATAAATGGTGTCAAGTACACAGAATAACCGAAGGAGTACAGTAAACGGGTTTTTTTGTAGCACTATATCTTCTTAGACAAATATCCGATATCGTCTTTACGAGCTAGTATAAACCAGTTTGATTTCTTTGTGCTCGCCTCTGGATTGTGAGGTATAGGTTCCTGATCTTCGGTAAACTTCTGCGTAGCTCGTCCCGCCACTCGACTGTCGTAGTTTGGGTTGACTCCAAATTTGGAGTCAACCCAAACCACTCCCTTAAGGGAGTCAAGTACTGGGATTAATTATATGTGGTTTGTAGTAAGAGGTGTTAAGACTGTTACTACTGTGAATGGAGTTGATCCTTTCACTAGTTAGTCCTCCGGTATCGTCGGTAAAAGAAAAGAGATGATAACAATAGATATAATTAGTAAAGTCATTCAGACCAACAAACAGAAAAAGAAATAAGAAAACGTAACAATAATCAGCTGATTAAATTTGAAGAATAATATGAATTATATATATATATATATCAGTAATAGTAATAATTGTAGTTAAAGTTGTCAGGAGAGTAAAACGCGAGAGAATGTAAAAAAGTAAAACAACGAATTTATTTGTCTACCCCTGAATGGTGTATGGGATTTTAAGGTCATTGGCTATTTGGACGCAGTCCTTGTGTTTCTGCATGATTGTCCAGCCTTCGCTTGAAGGCGTCCGCAGGCGGTGCCGTAGCTACATCTGTCGGTAAGGAGTTCCAGGGATGGCAAAACCGCAGTGAAAAGAAGTGGGGGCGCACCCGGGTCCTTGCCCTCTGGTGTACTATCCTTCTGGGATTTCCACGAGGAAGCCTATACCTACTCAATGGCAGAACACCTTTGTTTGGGTGATTCTGGTCATTTGTTATCTTATAGGCAGTAATCAAATCCCCCTAAGCCAACGGTGGCTAAGTGTGAATAGGCCTAATTTCTTTAGCCTTTCATCATACGGTTTACTTAGGAGAGCAACCATTCCTTTTGTCGCCCGTCTTTGGACTCTTTCCAAGAGGTTGGCGTCTCTTCTAAGCAGTGGTGGTGGAATGATATTATGCACTTCAAGGTGTGGTCTGACGTATGCTTTGTACAACCTTAGAAAGAGCTCAGGAGTGAGTGCACCTAACTGTCTATGTGTAAAGTGTATGACTGCATATGCCCCCCATCCTTGAGGATTGAAGATAGGATGGCTCTTTTTCACTCCCTTGGCAGTTTCCCCGAATTCATCGAGTGTTGGAACAAGTTGCATAAGGGCCTGCAGAGATCTTCGGCTCACTTTTTCAGAACATACGGCCTAATGTCGTCACAGCTTGAGGACTTTCCAGATTTAAGTCTCTGTGGCTTCCTTGGTGCTATTGTCTGGTTTATTTGGAGAGTAGCCGCTAGGTCTCCCTCCTGTGAACTAATAATAATACCACCATTTTGGTCCGTACCGGTAATACCCACATTGCTGTTAAACTGTCTGTTGAAGGCTAAACTGAATGTTTCAGCCATCTCCAGACTATTGAGATATTGACCGTTTGGGCCTACTAAGGCGCATGGCCCATGGTTGGTTTTCTTTCCGAAATGAATTGATACAAGATTTTTGGTTTTGTTATGAGTTTTTTGATAAGATTAGCCTGGAATGACCTCCTGTCACTCCTGACTTTCGCGTTGCACCGGTTATGTATCTCCCCATTTGTTTTCTAGGTTAATATTCACTACGACGATTTTTAGTTAAAACACTAATCCTCCGGCTTTTCAAAATCACTGAAATCACCGTTACGTGTAAATTTCCACACTATGAATCCTGCAGGACTCAGTTTTCATACTGCAACTCAAGCCGTAGTATTGATGTGCACTTAATTACCTGTAGGCAGAGTATTTCAACTAGTTTATAACGTAACTTGCTTTAGGATATTTTCGGACATTAGTATTTCTGCCTCGGGTAATCAGACTTACTATTCATGTCTGTCAAAGCATCGTAAGTTTAATAATATCCTAGGTTGTACATCGCAGAGACATTAGATGTGGAGTTATCAGCTGATTTAGTGTTCTGCTTGGTGTATCCTAATTAAAGCTGCCAATCACCCACTCAGTAAACCGTTAAGAGCATGTAATAATCCTCTTTTAAATCAAAATTGAAGCCTAAGTGCAGATTTTGTAATAATAACCTATGTGTGTAAACTTACGTAGACTACATTTTAAACTTGATAGCTTCCGAAAAATGTAATTTATGTTCAAATGATACCACTATCTGCATCTCCTTTCTTGTTGTTAAATATCCTGTGTATCATGTCTAACCTAATTTGTTTTGTAGCTATATCGACATTGAACCGCATTTCCTACTCCTTAGTGTAGTAGCATCCTGACTTGGAATATGCAGACGATATAGTCCTTCTAGGCGAAGACGCCTACGAAATGCAGAGTCTTCTGAACACCCTGAGCTGTAATCTACAAATCTTTAGAATGCGATTCGCTCCCGCCAAATGTAAGATGATGTTACAGGACTGGACTACATCGACGCCTTGTTTAAAAATAGGAAGTGAAGTGGTAGAACACGTTGACCGCTTCACTTATTTGGGAAGTACCATCAGCCCCAACGGGTTGATCTCTGACGAAATCTCAGCACGAATACAGGGGGCTCGTTTCGCATTTGCCAGTTTACGCCGACTCTGGCGTAGATGAGATGTTCGGCTATCGACCAAAGGGCGGGTGTACTGCTCATCAGTCCGATCCATCCTCCTTTATGGTTGTGAGACCTGGCCACTGAGAGTGGAAGACGTGAAAAGACTAGCTGTCTTCGATCATAGATGCCTGCGTTCTATTTCCCGTGTAAAGTGGCATAATAAGGTGAGCAACATTGAAGTTAGGCGTCGAGTGCTAGGTAAACAGGGGAAATCAATCGACGTAGTCGTGAAGTTACAAAGACTGAGATGGTTAGGACATGTGTTACGTATGCCTAGTCATCGCCTCCCGCGACGGGAAATGTTAGCTGATATAGGATCAGGCTGGAAAAAAGCTAGCGGCGGTCAAACAAAAACTTGGCACCAGTCAATGAAATCCACAACAGTTGGTCTAAGCCACGTAGAAAGGTGTAGACTTCCAGGCTGGGGTCCTCGGGACGGTAAAAATCTATGGTTGGAAACAATTGGTGACATGGCTCAAACTCGTTCTCAGTGGCGCAGATGCATCCACTCCTTGTGACTTATGATCTCCAATGAAACTGTTTTGTTTTTCTTTATTACTCCTTTGTCTCACACCTCTGCTCACTGTTTCTATTATGCTTTTCTTGTACTTTCTTCTCTTGCTTCGTGTGCTACACGGAGTGTGGCGACTTGAACTTCCGCACATTTGTGTATAGTTCTATGTCGAAAACAGACAGACAGTAGCATCCTGATACTCAACACTTCTGGATAGGTTTAGTTTATATGTTGAATATAGCTTCACGTTTGCTCTTCTCCTAGGAAATGCACGCTTTATTCTCTCCCAGAGTGTATCATAATCTGATATCTGAAAAATCTGAGAGCTGACGTCTAGTCCGGCGTTATGGTAATACAATACAACATGTGCAGTTCATTGGCTTTAACAGTTTACTTTCAGCTGGCGAGCCTTAAACTCGAGGCTCACTCCGCCAATCGCAGCCTTGGCAAGTGGTTATCGCCATCTGCCTTTGTAGAAAACAAGTGTTCTACATCCTGGCACATGACGCATATATTATAAATAGGTGTTTTCTAAGCGATGCAGTTCGCTTTACGAAATTTGGAAGGATTTGCAGCTTCTAATGAAGCAGCCCATTCATGGCGAAATTGAAACTTTGCTGAGCCTAGTCGTGTAATACAACTGACTTTTCCTGAAATACAACGTCAACCTATCTAACTTGGAAACGAGTTTAGTGACAGGGTATATTTGAGACCCATTATTGCCTTTCATTTACACATACTATTTCTTGTACAAGTTGAGAGGTGCCGCATAGCAAAATCCACTTTCCGATCTCCTCAAAAATATGACAATTGTTATGTTGCGTAGTAATCATGAAATGGTCAGTTATCTACGCATGCTACAGGAATTCGAATTTTAACAAACGACAATGCAGGACTACCGTTGTTTTCAGTGTATACTACGCTCCTCTTTTCTAGTCAACTCATTCGTCATCTTAGTTTGTAATGAGTAATATGGTCACAAGACGGATAACTACGGTGAGTTGCAACTTGTAATCGGCAAATATCATGGCTAAATAAAATAAATATCTGAAGTCTGACAAAAATCAGGTTTTTACTTCAGAAGACAACTCTGTTTAAATAGTCCAGTGACTTAAAAATAGTACACTTGTTAGGAAAATATGCTTTCATGGCTGTTGTCATATCACCATACATTTTGACAAAATTGAATCCCACCATCACGAAGCGAAATTAGATGTGCCAAAAACTGGCAATTACCTCTACATGCTGAAGACTGTCAAAGGGTGATGAAGCGAACATTTGTACGCGCTTAAACACCGTCAGGTTTTCTTTAATCCAGCCTCACTTAGTCTCTGTTTGACTATAGCCCCTAGGATCATAAGTACGCCTTGGGTATACACCAGTTTTGCACTGATCTAGTCAACAGTTAGTCACCATTAGGCCTAAACACTTTTGGGGTCTAAGCGCCATGTTCCGCTACTCTGCCTCATTTTAGATTATTGAAACTTTCTCAGTCTCTGCTGTGGATGAAGAACCGACGTTTACATCCCATTCAGAATAAGTTTCGGTGATAGGCAACCGCAATGTAGATGCAGACCAGCTAAATTCCTTGTTAAAGAGTTCCACAGAAGGGCCCAGCAGTCGACCGAGAAGTTTGAAAATCCTATCCTTCTCGTAGGTTGTTTCAGTTAAAATAGGTTAATAGCTTGAGGTTTTTTCATTCCCTTATATGCAGAATAACATGAGATATAAAATATGTTTATCGGCTAGGCAGGTTGCTTTTAGTAGTCCCATTTGTATAACTACTAGATTAATCGCAGTGACTTTGTATTCGTGTACAGTTTATTGAAATCAGCTGAGTGAAAGTGTTGTTGGAACTTAAAGGTGATTAAAAGTACTGCAGCCTTCATACTGTAACTATCTCGAATAAATTCTTGGGTGATGTGAAATATCAGATAAAATGTTCAGTTGCCTTTAGAACACCAATCACTAGTGCAGAATATTCTATGAAATAAAGAAAATTGGGCGAGGGGAAAACCTTTGTTCTAGGTTACAATTTCATCGTTGGTACTCATTCTCGCCTCCAAAAGCTGAAAAGAACTTTGTTTTTATACACAACCCTTGTTATGCTTTGATTCTTTATAGTTGTAGCTCATTCTCTAGGCACTCAGATTACAACTTAGATCTTGAGTAACGTTTCGGTTTGAACAGCAAGTCTGTTTACCCCACGTATAGCCTGTGAAATCAAACATAACTGTCTGTCATCACCTAATGAACTATTCTTGGTATCTATATCTTAATAGCACAATCTTGCACTACACTTGTTAAATATAACCTCTTAAATTTTTAGTTATACATAGCTGGTATAATTCAGTTTGTTTATCGCCCAAAACAACGTAGTAGACACAATTAACAAACCATAAATATCAAGTAGTTGTGGCTACATAGTAAGATTAAAAAAGTTATTTATGTGCAGGACCTCGTCAAACTAATTTTATGTAGCGTATAACAAAGCAACAGTAGTAGTTAAAATAATCTGTTTAGTAAACGTGTTGGTTATTCGTTATGTTCCCCGAATACTTTTCTAGCCGACATCCTATTTTAGTAGAGCAGAGTTCACAATAATGCGGACAAACTGCTTAATTTTTAAAGGCTTTAATCTTGTTCATAAGATAACGCACCAATTCTGAGAAAACTATTACTAGATAAAAGTTATCTCTTTGAACATCAATACAACATAATCGCTTTGTAGTTATTGGAAGTGAAATTTTAAATGGAAAAGTAAAGGATACGAACTCACGTCTTATTTGCCGTACAGTGCCCTTACTAGGCCTACAGCTTCGAAAGGTAACTAGGAAACATAGACTAACATTTCCTTCTAGATTTCTGTAATTCCAGATGACGTTAGGGCTATTGCCGATGAAGTCTGTAGTCAAATGAAGCAGTACGATTATGTCATAACATCTGGAGGCATAGGTTCCACTCATGACGATGTGACTTATGAAGGTAAGCTTACAACCACTACTACTTACTAATCCTTAGGTATTGCGAAAGCTCTTAATGAAAACATCGTCACTCATTCGGAATTTTTTCAAACATTGAGGTATTTATCTGAACCTGACGTAGTACTCCCTTCCGATCCTATAACGAAACTTGCCAAAATACCGGAATCGTCAGAGTTGTTATATGGGACGCGTGTTCAGATAGGAAGTGAAAAGTCATATCCTGTTGTAAAAGTGAAAAACGTTTTTATTCTACCCGGAGTTCCTCGTTTATTCAATCTAGCGTTGGAAATAATAAAGGTAAAAATAATTATACAGCAGTATTTTATTTACATGAAAGAATCTCTGGCATCTAAAGTGAAACCAGATCTCTGTATTATATAAGTAGCGGCTTTAACTGCGGATTCAAGCGAAGAAACAATAGGTCTACTTAGAATATGTTCTGCAATGAAACCAGCAGCAAAGGCATCTCCGGCACCATTTGTGTCGACAATTTGACAAGATTCCACTGTTTTGACAGGGAACTCATGAACTTTCATGTCCAAAGAATTAACATACACCACAGGATGTTTGCCTCGTGTGATAATAACTAGACGATTTCTTTTCATTCTGGTAGCTAAAGGTCTGCTGGCTATATGCTGGGCCACTGCATATACCGTTATGTTTGGAAGGTTGTGAGCTTCTCCATATGCTTCCGCTTCAGTTTCGTTCCCAAAAACAATACCTGCATGTGATATCATTTCATCTACTTCTTTAGTGTAGAACTTGGATATAAAAGGTGCGCTAAGATTGAAGCAAAACAATTTGCCGAAAGTCGTCGCATGTTTAGCCACTTCAAGCATACCTTCGTAGCAGGAAGATATAACATAACCCTTAAAAATAATGATAAAGTACTGGTCAGACTTACAGCAATGTAAAATACTCGTGCTCTTTCCACTAGACTCCACACACGTGGCTGTTTAACATGCTGTACAGTAAGATCACATGCTGCTCCCAGGTAGGTAACAATGCTACGATTTTTTCCATTGATTAGAACTGCTACTTTTCCAGTCTCCAACGGCTTCTTTGTTGTTTGAAATTCTGTTTCTAGTCCAAGCTCTCGACATTCTGCTTCAATACGATCACCCATCCGATCGGCACCTATGCATCCGACAAATGAGCATGAAAGTGGTTTTCTCAATATCCATTGGATCATTTTAACAGTATTTAACGTCGATCCTCCTGCAACATATTTTACATCAGGTTTTTTCATAAGTTCTGTGTAGATGCTCATATGCTTGTCTTCAGCTAAAATCGCATCATCAACATTCAGTCCGTAAGATTTATAAGTGTCTTCATCCGCTTTCCACAGCATATCCAACAGCGGATTCCCCATACCAAAAAGGTATCCCTCGGACACCTCATCCATTTCTTTTTTGTTTCTCAAAACTGAGCATTAACGCTTGTGCCGATTATTATAAGGGAAGTTTCAGCCAATAGTAGCATGACTTCTGTCCGTACGATTTGATTGGTCATCTGAAGGTTATGTGGTTGTTTATAATTGGTAGTTAGAATACATAAGATACCATTGGACTAACGGTCTGGTATTGATGAAACGATGTTAGTTGCAGGTAAAATGAGAATTTCGTCCTACATAGTTGTCGAGAAGCGTTTTTAGATTACAGTCAGTAGGTTTTTCTGTATAAACCAGTCACATGAAAGCGGTTGATATGGTCGAAACGACAAACATTTGTTGCACAGATTCAGTTTCTTTCTAAGTTTTCACGAAATTTCACTTTGCGTGACTTCGTGCGATATGTTTGTAAGAATCTGAGTTAACTTTTGGTTTAGGAAACTGAAAATCACTGTGTCGCAAGAAAATAAATCGAAACGGGTGAAGAATATTATTTCAATGAGTCCTTTGTCATGTCCTATGTTATAAATTTAAGTCAGACTACAATAATTAGCAGGTGGGAAAGTCATATCATAGACCTCCAAGTTTATTGACCTTCATGGACCAATCAGAATGGGAAGACACGAAATGTGTAACACGAGGTATTTTTCATTAGCATGTTTCATAAGCATGGTCTACGTTGCTATAAATACGAAATTGTAAGTAGATTAAGAATATCTGGTTACAGGATTTCATCATGAGTTGGCATTGGTTAGAGAATCATTAGAAAACCTGGGAGTACTGGACAGCTATATCGTCTTAGTTTGGGGCTCTTCAGCAGTACGCATCCGCCGTGCTCTAATTATTGAATAATATTATAAATAGTATCGAACAAATAGATTTTCATCAAAATAAAGTTTTCAATGGCCCGAGGAAAGCAGCTTTCGTCAAGTGTTTGGTTCCAGTCTGATTGGTTAGAAAATCACCGATTTGTGCGCAATTATATGATTACTCCACGGGATTTTTGAAAGGAAACCACTCATAAGATAATAAATAGTGTTAGTAAGGTTGTCACTGTACACTAACTGGACGGAAAATTATATATTCGACAGGTTTATAAAGTGTAACATACTGTGATACAACGTGTGTAATTAGATGATTTTTCCAGCATAATTTAGATATGATATGATATAATTACCCATCATATCAGTTGTAACCGTAATACTCCTTTTTGTAGGTCGACAGGCTCGACAAAACAGAACGAAGACAACATCAAACAGAGGGAGTTGATATGATTATGAGCAATCATTGGTGCCGGAAACGTCATCTAGTTATTAATACTCTATGTTATGTCAAACAGACTTATTTAATGTGGAATGATATTCAACCATTGCTTTAACTCGACGAAGGATTTGGAATCTTGTTAGAATAAGGAAGAAGAGAATTGTACAATAAGGTGGTTTTTAGGAATTAGAAACAGTACCAAAGCTAGTAATGACGCTGAGGATGGGTAGAACGCCAACATACATATTCCAGTAGTTTGTTTATTTTCGGCTAAATCACTTATACAGCCACAGCTTCAGTATGTTAATACTTTACAGACTCTGTGTAATAGTACTTTTATACTTCGTTGTGCATCTCAGTGAAAGACCTTTTCGTTCATAAGAGTAGTTTAGTCCTTTGATTTTGAAGACAAATGTCACTACCTATCACTGAATATTTAAAGATAAATTTGATGTACTTAAAGCTGAAAATCGTGTTTTGAACTCCACTTAGACTGGAATATTGGTTCAATTCTCAACTAAGAAAAAGTCCACTAATTAAACATTTTACACAGCAAGCAGTTGTACTTTAAGTATATGTTTAGATAAACCTTGAAACAACCACAGATTGAATCATTTCAGGGATTTTGCTGAACGTTTGTGCAGTTTTCATACAAGTTGTCGTGGTTGGTTGAAAAACTGAATGAGAACAACTGATGCACACCGAAACGACATGATGTATAGTGATTTACATGAGTTCATGTTCAAGATAAGCCTTGGTTTTTTAAACCGATGCTGCCATAAGAAACTGGAGGCCACTTTTACATCTTACGGTGGATCGCACTGTTTAATATTTCTGCATTTCGCTTACAGAAATATTTCAATTTCTCCCTAAATTTGCCTTCTTAACCTGGTTGGTTATTTCCAGATTGTTAGTGTAGCTGCTCACTTCGAAACTTAAACATTTTTACTGTGCTTTAAATTATTCAGTTTTTGTGTATCTCCAACTTCATTGTATTCGTCTCTTATGTTTCCATATTTTAGTTAACTTCAGTTTTATTTCTGCTATTAATATTCTTCGTGAAGATTTTAAGTGACACACTACTTACAAATATTTATCATATTCTGTAATTTGCTTTCCACATATCACATCGTGCGTCTTCATATAAGTGTATATCTATCTGTTACAGGACCATATTCGAGATCCATGCGTGAAATTTTCTCATCATTCGTTGTACATTACTGCTGAAGAAACCAAAATAGCTAAATGTCTATCTGAATTAGCCGAAAAATACGAAGGTTCAGTCAGTATTGGATCGTATCCTGCATTTCACAACAGGTTAGCCAGTTTACCTTGGTTTTGTATCTGTTTTAGCATGTATTACTTCTGTATTGTGTCAAGTGTTTGAATGAAAACAAGTCGTTCAGATGATACTGTCTTATTTGTAAGATTTACTCTAGAATAAATTGTTATCTTCCTCTTTGTGTTAGTTGTCCTCATAACTCAACATTTCAACTGAAAACGAAATTGATTTACTTTTCGTGCATTTTGCTAAGTTGCTAAAATTAATGGCAGCTACATATTCGTTATTCAAGTGTTGGTTTGTAGGGATTTGATTGGTTTCAGGATTTCATCATGAGCTGACATTAGTTAGAGAACCATTGGAAAACCTGGGAGTACTGGACAGCTGTTTCGTCCTAGTTTGGGACTCTTCATCAGTATGCACCCACCAGGATTCGGACCTAGGACCTATACAATGGTATACGAGCTCGCCTTGTAACCGGAAGGTTCGGGTCCGAATCCTGGTGGGTGCGTGCTGATGAAGAGTCCCAAACTAGGACGAAACAGCTGTCCAGTACTCCCAGGTTTTCTAACTAATATTAGCTCATGATAAAATCCTGAAACATATTCGTTATTTTTGTTAGTCATTACGCTGCTAATTGTGTCCAAGTCTTAGCTCATCCATAATCCTTCATAAATACAAAATGTTTAGTAATATTCTTTATATCATCAATCGTTACTTGCCTTTCACAATTATACGATTATCAATCTTCCTAATAGAAATATATACAAACGTTAAGTAATTATAGTGCACTTCACCGAATATTAAGTCTGTCACTTAGTTATTTAGCATTTTGTCGATTCAAACACCTAGTGTATTCAAAACAAGAATTAAATGTAATAATTATAGTCCTTATAATGTTAAATGTAATTATGCTAATCTGCTTACAATGCATAGCATAATTAATAGTAAAGATGTTGTTCAAACTAAGTCTTCAAGTTACCGTACCACCGTTTATTAAAACGTGCGTTGAAATTGTTGTTACTTAATTCTTATCATTTTAACCAGATGAAGTTTGTCCTTGACATAACTATCCTATGGTTGGATCATGGTTTTTTGAAAGCCACAAATGTTAAAAGGTCATTTTATAGTTTATGTATTGTACCTTAAGTGTTTAAAAGTTAACCTATTTGAAAGATATTTAATAAAATGTAATTTATAAGTACAAACTCTGGTTGGGTTTTTTTTAAAAAAACAAAAAGAAGATTTTTATGCTGTTGTATTTTTTTAATCCTTAAAATTCATTCACATTGTATTTTAATCTGTGTGAAGTACATTAAGCAACTAAGCAATTTAGTAACACATTTCATCATCTTTATTTATGGTGTAGACAAATAGACCTTTGTTGTATGTAGATAGACAAACATGTCTACTTAGAACACCACACAAAAGTCTGTCAGTTGATTTACCTAAACTGCATGACAGTATAGCAAAAAAGCGAACACAAACAGAATTAGATTAACACAAAAATAAACAAAGTAGAATCTTAGAGAAAGAACCATTAAAAGGAGGTTCGTGTAGAATTTTCAAAACAACAACAAATAATGAATATTGATAGCGTTGCTGCGCTCACTCAATGGCATAAGTGATATGTTTTTCATATATTTGGCATGGGAAAATTTCTTATAAAGTACTTATTTAGATGACTTCAGAGTTTTTGCTAATCTGTGACAGCTAATGGAACTTTCTAGTCATATCTAGGCTTCAGCATTAAACGGATAAAGTTATATTTTCATGATTTTATGCTGTTATAATAGTATAAGGTCTGTTGCATCATGAATTCTTCATTTTCACCTGTGTTCAAGTGGCGCTAATTCCAAATATTGGGTACATTTATACTATTGTGACGGGTTTTATGCCATGCCATCAGGAGTCTTCAGTCGTTGGACAGTTTAAAGCGTTCACCTTTTAAAGCAAGATAAAAAAAGACTGTCTACCTGATATTTGGTATTTTGTTGTGAACAATGAATTAATATTCTGAGGACGCCTTATATTTTGAAAATATGTTGAAAAAATAATCTGATATGACACTTAATATGTGTGTAAAACTTGGGTACTATGGCGGTACGTAACTTCATTGGATATATCGCAGTCACTCAACCACGTTTCGAACACAATTTAGTGTTCATAAGTGATATGATTATGAACAATAAATTCTCGTCTAAATGGTATCCCGTAAATAATGCTGTTTCACAATGATGTGACACTGACTTTACTATACTTATGTGAATATCAAAGTATATTTCATTGGCTAAGATTTTACAGAAAATGAAGTATTTAATTCAGTTTAGATATTCCCGTCGATTGATTGGATTGAAGTGCTCAGTCTCAGATTGATAACGCTTTGGCGTTTGAGACTATGGGCACTGGGTTAGAGTCTTGGTAGGGACACCATCACTCATTGGGGATGCAGATAAGTGCAGATGACGAGTCTCAAATGGGGCGAAATAAGCATAAGAAAACTCTTCAGGAACCTAGAATTCAGTGGTGACATTGAAGCTGAAAATTTTAGAAACTGCCTTTCTAAATGTCTGAAGAAGACATTTCAAGCAGGCACCTTACGCATCACACTCTCCAGCAGACAGTTAATCCAGTCTAGCGTTAAGGATAAGATACCGCTTTTGGCCACCTCAATGTGTATTTATCAATTCACTTGCTCGTGTGGAGTAAAGTATATCGGCCGTACGCAACGTCAAGTCCATGAACGTATTCTGGAACATTGTTAGGCGGAGGAGGAAAGAAGAATAGTAGCAGCTCTATCCTCGAACACCTTGTCATCTCCGGACATCGGGCACCCCCGCATGAATGCTTCACAGTGCTACACACAGTCCTTCGATATCGTACGAAGGGACTTTGCATACGCCATCTGTACATAGCTGAATCAGTAACTATTCGGGACCGGAAATCGGACCTCTGCATTCAAAAGCGCTACATACATACACTCGGCGTACCGTGGCCAGAGAAACGTTCTTACTATGATTTTGCTTCTTTTTATTATGTAAGTTTAATATTATTATTATTATTTTATTATCTCCATTATGGATAAGATTTTATTTTGATAAATCACAGTGTTGTACAGTCATATTATATATATATATATATATATATATATATATATATATATATGTATAATCAGTTAATAAAGCTGTACAACACTGTGTGATTTATCAAAATAAAATCTTATCCATAATGGAGTTATACTCTACCACAGTGCCCAAGTTTTATACTTATATTTTATTACCATTATTATTCCCATCATCCATATTTTATTATCACTATTAATGTTTATTAATGACTGCTTTTTCATGCAGACTTTAGATAAAAACACTTAATCATCTTTCCACTGGTTCCTGTCTATTCTACAAAGTTTTATTGATTAGTCATTATTTCACACTTATTACGTCATGCCAACTTCTACCTCTCTTCAACTCCCAATTAGTTACTCTTTCTAGGTTACACCTCACATTACGTAATACACTTCTCGATGACAAATTTTGCTAGTATCTGATTGGTTTTATGATTTCTTTGTTAAATATAATTACGATTGTACAGCTTATGAAGATGAATCGTCAAAGAGAAAATTTCCTTCGCTATTTACGTCTTTTTCTTATTACTCAATATGGGAACATTTCGTTCATTTTTTAATTCACCAAATATATCAGTGAATAAACCAAGCAGTATTTATTCTTGGATAATAACTTTGCTCAGCTTTTTCCTTATAAGCCATTTATTCATATCTCAAAGTTTGTATTACTTTTTATATGTTATTTGAGGTGGATGGTTGAATTGTGAATACTCAGATGTCCTTCTGGACCATGTTTCCGGTACTATGTTGACTGTGCGATGAATTTCCTAGATTTGCTACAGATATCAGTATTTTGTGGTTATAGGTACGATGGCGTGATGTATTTCTTTTTGGCTGTCCTTATTCACTCTCGATGAAGTGAATTGTTATGGTCCTGTCACCAATTAATATGATCTCTTCGACAGTCGATATAACCGAGTGGACTAATGCGTGTGTCAAATAATTCTCATGCAAGAAGTAACCCAACTGAAAGGCTGAATACGTCTAATCATCCGTGGTGCCTTCTGCTTCACTGAGCCATGTAAATATCAGAAGATAAAGACTAACCTGTGACTGTTAGGATACTATTTAACTAGGAAATAAACATGTTATATTTATATATTTTCTAAGCACATTAAAATCAGCCCAGTAGAAAAAGGTTAATCCAATTGATAAGCGATTCATCTAAGGAAGTCGAGAAATAAATATTCTGATTGGCTGGCGATTTGACCAAGACCAAGGTGAGAAAAAGTTGATGAAATTTTAGTCATCCGATCGCACGATGATTCCCAAGATGATCACTATTTTAGGCTGATTCCTATCATGATTTGAGGGCAGTAAAGAGACCTGTTTGGTTAGGTCAACAGTATTATAATTTGTTTCTTTTTTGGAGGAGCTGCGTTTTCCATTTTTAACAACGATTATTTTGATAAACTGTCCTAGTATTTTTTCAATAGGTTTGTTTGTAATCTTGTCCAATCTTTCTCCTCTAAGCCTAATGTTTAAATCGATTTACAGTTAACAGACATGTCGATCAAATAAAGTATAATTATATTTCAATAGTTTACACACAATGATAAGTTTTGTTATAGGTGATATTTCGAACAAAATTACTGCCCGTGTTCACACCACTTTTGGAATTGTTTTGTTCACTTGTTGATCACTTAATGAAGAGTGAGTAACCCTATGTAAAGGTCAAGTATCAGGTCACCTAGGCGATTAATACCATCATAAATATCTTAGACACAGCCAATTATAATGAAAGTCACCGGGGGAAAATAGGATATTTCATCTATGGGAACTTCACTTCGTGTTAAAGTTAGCTTTGAAAGCGTGTAGAAAGATAATGAAAGATCTGCAACTGAAACAACCAGCCTAATGGACATAATATCATCATAAACATTCATCTCAGCTGTGAATCTTCATCATTTACAAAACTGGTAGAAACACAAGCCATATGTACCTTAAATCTATAGTGCAGAATTTGTTGGCATTTAGCTGAAAACTCATTTCTTTTGTCTCTTTCAAACACTACCATTTGATGACGCGTAGTATAATGTCTATCAGAGAAGTCTTGTTTTCTGTAATCACTCTAACTCCAATATTCAATCATTAAGATCATCTCGACAACATCCCTTATGCTTTACGATGCAGAATATAAATTCTGCGAATTATTATCCGTTTCAAATTGTCGATCCTCTACTCTAAGTAGTACACTGTAATTCGAGGATTTGAATTCTTAACCAAGGTGATTCACTTAAGAGGAAGCTGGATCATCTTTTAGGGAAGTACATCCCTCAACCTTTGGGTGTTGTTGTGCAGCTAAGTATATTGGCCTTTCGATTTGGATACTATTCAGAAGAGTTCAATAATGTCCTCTATTCAAGAGGGCAAGGACTCATTGCAGCACTCCCACCTTAAGGAAAATTGAAGAAAAATATCTTATGGACGTCTTCCAAAAGAATGGATATCCACGGAATTTCATCAAAAAACATATACCCCTAAGCCAACCTATCAAACCAAAAGCCCCCAAGGAAAGCACAAAGAAAATCGCCTTACCGTATATAAAGGATATCTCAGAAATCATTACAAGACTCTCCAAACCTTTAGGAATTGACGTCATACACAAACCAGCAAAGTCACTTCACTCAATTCTATGTCAACCAAAAGACTCAACAGTGAAAGAAGATAAAACCAACATCAGATGTTGGTTACCTCGTCAATCTTGTACGAATTTAGGTGGCATATTCAGTGAGCTTATTAATTTATTACCAGTAATTTCTATTCTAATTAAATGAATCTTTAACTTAACATTATGTTAGGTAACTTTAAGGACGTAGAGCAGTTTATCAATTAAAAGATGTTTTTTTGAATTTATTCCTTAATAGTTACTATCGTGTTCGAATAACCTTTGACTCCCTTGATGGAAATACTGTGAAACTTGCCTATGAAGAAGCAAAAAGTTTATTTGAAGACTGTAAGTCATTTATTTTTCATTCATTATTTTATTGAAGTGTTAGTATTTTTTGAATGATGAATCCCCGTTGGCATGATATAGTCTAAAACAATATTTTATGAATAAATACAAAGAAGTGTATTGCGATATGTGTGGCTTCGTAGGTATTATTGGCCTGTGACAAATGTGAACATATAAATGGTTTCTGTTGAGTTGCGGTAAAATAGACTTAACCGCCATTATAATTATAGAAATACTGGTTGTGATTGTTCTCAGTTCCCGCAAATTCAGTTAAAAGTTACCAGAGATTTAGTCACTCGCAGTCGTATAGTTTCAAAGTCAGGGAAGCTGCCATAAATTTTTATTTCATTACGCAAGGTCGTTTAGTTGCTACCTCTAGGTACATGTACATTTTTGTGTCATTCATCATTAACTGGAAAGTGAAAAAATTTCTGTAGTCTTAGGATGTTAGTGATTAAATTATATCAAGCTCATATTATCTAACCTTCAAATCCGATACCTTGTATACACTTATAAGTTTTGGAAAATTTAAACAACGATTTCAACAATACAGCATAGTGATTAGTAGATCACGTCTTTAATCCAACTGCTGATTGAATCACTCAACCACTTGAAGATTTGAAAGATTTCCCCCCGGTAGTCATTGACTGCCTTCTAAGTTCTCATTTGTTTTGAAGTTTTAAAGAATACTAAATTAAGAGTTTGACGACTGAGGGTAGGAAAGCTTTTTAAGTTAGCAAAACTCATGAGTATAACCTGCTGAAGTTTCTTGAAGGCTTCAGACTTCATAGTATTGTTTGGTTGGCTTGTATTCGGTGGTTGTTTAATGTTATCAACTTATTATACTTTACGGGGGTACTAAGGTTGCCTATAGTTTTCATTTAAGTACTTGATGGAATAGTAACTTTACTAGTGTCAATGCATACAGATTATATTGAGATATTTTGAATCTTTAACGTTTGGTAATCACAATATGAGAGTAAACAGCTTTTTCACTCCCTACAATATACACATTCTTTAATTTTATTTGCAGGCGTTGTTGAGTATAATCCAGACCCAATCAGTAGAGCTGATTATGAAGTATACAAATTATCCGAAGACAAAGACACGAGTTTAGGTAATCGTGTATCTGAATCTATAAAGATTATCGAAGAAGCACTAGACAAGTACAGGTATACTTTTTTTTATAAATAAAATACTGATAATTCATTTTATAAACGGATGTAATAGTGAAGAATAGTTTTATGTACTATAGTATATTTCACTTTCTAATGTTTTATTTCAATTAACATTGTAATTTTATTGTGTATTATAATGTTTTGAAATGTTTTTGTGCATAATTTCAAAATATTCAATGAACTTTTATAAATATGGAATAGGTATAGGAAGTATATTATCTGCATGCCTGTCATTTGCAGGGTTTTGACTGGATAAGAAATCTAAACGTTGTTTTCGGTTATTTCCGTATATACTGGTTATTTCCTTGAGTAGAATGCACTCATATGTATCAGTTTCTCATATTCACAGGAATTTGCATGTTTAACCAAAATGATGTGTTGCGCATTGTTTATTTATACTTATAATTTCCTGTAGTTGTGATTTGACCGGAATCAATTAATTTGTCCTTGTGCGTCGGTGGCACAGTGGTTAGGACTCTCGCCGACCATGCACATGGTCCGGGGTTCGAGCCCGCACCGACTCACATCTGATATCTATGGTCGGCCTGCAAAATTTGAGCTACCGATATCCATGCTGAAAATTCCATACTTGTACCGAAAATACAGTGTGGAATCAAGCTGTAAATAAAAAAAAATAAAAATAAAAAATATAGGCTTCTCAAGCAGCGGCTTAGATGTTACTTTTTTGTGTCATTTTGATATTATTTGTTATATGGCGTCCAGTGGTGAAATGTAAGACAGGCGTTTTTTTCTGTGTGTCCTTATTGAGAATCGTATTCTTCAATGTTCGTCTCATGTGCACCTTTTGAATCTCACATTCAAGTTACTACGAATGTATTCATTCAAAGAACACTGTTACTTTGTTCCATTAAAATCTATGGAAAACTAGGAGTACAAACTATAATGAAATAATAAGAAATTCTTTTATCTCAGTACCCTAATAGATGACTTTAGTATTTAAATAGACCATTATTGGGATGTACACATGTTTAGTTGATGAGGTCTAAATGAAAGGCGTTGTGCATTGCAGATTCTCCTACTGGCTACCATTAAAACAAATGAAATGCTATGCAATTTTTATACATTAACTAAACTTTTAGTTGTTATTATGTGTGCAAGATAGAGATATCTACAGCTCTGTTGTAAGTGCTGCAACTGAATTACCGCATTTTTTGAAATACTAGAGGATGGATTTGACTTGGAATTTGTGACTAATGAAGTGCGAATCTTTATACCTAATTCTTGTGTGTTTTCCTAGAATGTGTTTATGATACAACTTACATTGCGAGATTTATTCACGAAGATCTATTTTGTAAACTTTGTGTAAGTTATAATTTGGTGGTAAACTGTCATAGCCGTTGGCTGACTTTGGAACTTGTTATTAACTGATAGCTGGTACGTGATAGTCGGTATCAGGTATCGGTATGGCTCAACGAGCTTCACCGGCTGAATAGAATATCCCTACTTGGCATATTAATTGACTCGAAGGTGGCATTTGATACTGTCTCCTGAGAGGTGGTGTGACAGTTTCTGGCCGTATAGGTAATGTCGAGAAAGCATAACGCACCAACCAAGAAGAGATTTAAACTGTCTAGTCTTTCCTCGTATGATAAATTAGTTATGCCAAGAATCATACGTGTTGCCTTCCTTTGAACCCTTTCTAGAATATGTGAGTTTTCTTTAAGACAAGGATTGGTTGCCTGGATACAGTTTTCCAGTCTTGACCTCACCAGAGATGTATATAAGGAGGTAAACATACCTCTGATGATTCTAGTAAGGGCTCTGCGAGTAGCCCATAAAGATCTAAGACTACGTACAGCCACCGCACGTCAATGTGCTGTAGTTTTTAAGTAGTGACTTAATATGACACCTAAGTCCAAATGAGTCTGAAGTGATGGTAGTGTTATTCCCTCTAGTTCGTAGAAGCTAATGCATACGTGTCCAATGCACATAGTTGCACATTTCTCTGCATTCTCTGGACCACTCTGACAATTTTTTGAGGTCCTCTTGCAGCGTGAGCGTGTCATTGTCGCCCTTCAGCTCTCTCTAGATTTTCAAATCATCTGCGTATAGAACCATAGCGGAATCAATGGGCATATATAACTCATTGATGTGCAGAATAAATAAGAGGAGTCCGAGTACCGTGCCTTGTGGCACTTCTCTACTTACCGTTATCCAGAAGGAGAGTTTTGAGTTGATTCGGACTCGCTGTCTCCTACCCATGAGGAATTCCCTAATCCAGTTTAGTAAGCCCCCTTTGATTCCAAGACTTTCCAGTTTCGTGAGCAGTCTTTTGTGAGGCACTTTATCGAAGGCCTTACTGAAGTCCATGAAGAGGATGTCGACAAGTCTTCTGTTGTCCTTTGAGCTGACCCAGCTTTCTCTTGCTGTAGGAAGGTTTGACAGTCACGAGAGGTTTCCTCAGAAGCAATGTTGTACTCTGGACTACAAGCTGTTGTTTTCCAGATATGCCATGATAGCTTTCCTGATGATCCTTTCCAGTTTCTTGATTAAAGATGCTGGTGAGACTAATAGGCGTGTAGTTTGAAGGGCATTGCCTTGCTCCTCCTTTGTGGATGGGGTTTACTATGGCGAGTTAAAGGTATGCATCGGGGGGATTGAACCCTGGACCACTTGCTTGGTTGGCCAGTGTTCTACCACTAAGCCACCGATGCACTACATTTACCTCTGAGTGATTTACGAATCTCTCAATTTATCCATGAGGGACCATATTTCCGACCTTTTGGAACAGAACAAAGAATGGAAGGTTCGGTTACCTGAGCGTAAAGTGGCTTAAATTCATTTCATGTGGCTTCTACTTGGGACTATGGTGTAATATAATAGTTCAGTGAATAGACTGTTGACACGATAGCACTTATATTGGCTTTCCAAACGTTTCGTCGATCTGGGGTTTTGGCCCATGATACTGCTTCTGTTAACTTGCTAGTGAGTACAGCGTGATCACTTCTTCCTAAAAGAGGAATATGTTGCATGAAGTCCACATTCTCACCATGAAAGAACACCAGACCCAGTGTTGAAGAGGAGTGCTGTGAGTCATAGCACATGGACTTCATAATATGTTGAACTGGGGCTAGCGAAATACTAGATTTCAGCAGTTAATAGTCAAAGGAGTTGTCTGAAGATAGCATTATAATGCTCGCCCAGTCAACTGTTAAGGCACGGAAGTTGCCAACTACAAGACTCCGACCTCTAGGTGTCCAGGAGCCTAACTTCTCCACTAGAAAGTCATCTGTATTGCTGTTGGTATTGCTGTATGTATCAATGAGGTCAATATCTTGGCCTATGCTTTTAAGTCTGCAGCATAGAAGTTCGCACTTTTCACTTTCTTGTGCGAAAGCTTCAATGTTACACACGGTTAAGTATTTCTTGAGGTAGATAACTACGTCCATATTCCCAATGGCTTGTCATTAGTTTTCAGGATAACCGAACACACCTATCCCTACCTCTTGCGAGATGAGGTAGTATCATGTAGTATCATCCTGTGGTAACACCGCTCGTGATCCCTCTCCCTCGGTGAACCAGTCAGTAATAGTGAGGCTGCGATACCAGTAATAGCTAGGAAGCAAAAATCAGTAGGATAACATTGTGAAGCTATCTCGGTTCATATGACTAGAACACGTGTTGTGCGTATAGGGACCCCATAGACTCAGTATGCGCAGTACAGAGTCTCTGCATTCCTCCTTGAGTAATGTGAGCTGACAGGATTAAGTTTAAAAAGGGTTTTTAAGGACGTCAGATCCTATATATTCACTCTGTGTTATCTTCCAGATTCATTAAGTACCAATTTTTCTTCATCTAATTGTTATTAATCTGCCACGTCTTAGTTTAATAAAAACGCTTTAATTCTTTTTCACTGTTTTTCTGTCTACTGTGAAGCACGGCGGTAACGTGAACTTCTGCACTTCATTTATGTAAAATTCTACTTTTTAAAATTCAATTCATTTTTTATTAGCGATATATGTAGTATGAGCTTAATTAGACGAAAGTATAGTTATTATATATATGTTTATTAAATAAGAGAAGTCTATAAAACAAAGTATCAATTAAGACATTCTTGAGTCGTAAGGTATTTATTATTATTATTATTTTTTTAAATACTTTATCTGAACAAATTTCTTAAGCATTAAGTGTTATTGTTGATTTATACTTATCGTGAACGGATTGTGTTAGTTAATCCAGGCTAAGTGCATTTGTCTGGGTGTGTGTGGGTGTATGTACATTTTCATTTACTACCACAAGTATTTAGAGAAGATCTAAATTGCTATACTGATAAAGATATTTCATAGTTGAAGATGATATTTTTTTCTGTTGTACTACAAATCTCTGAGATATGTTGCACTTAATAATTTCCTGAGCTATCAAGTATTTAATGTAGGATTACTGGTATTTCCCTGTAATGGTTTACGTTATTCACACAGGTTAAATGACACACAGAAGAAATTATCAGTTTATAGTAAGTCTTTTCTGCGAAAACTGGTATCATGATAGGGTTAAAGTTATCTGAATTGTTGCAGTTGAGGAAATCGTTGTTTGTTTGTTTTTTATGGGTGTAAGCATGATACCTTCTCGAGGAGTTTTACTGTCTTAAGTATTCGACTTTAGCAAATTTTTGTCTCATCAAAGTGGCTCTCTAGTGAAGTTTTAGAGGCTGAGGGTGCTGGTGTGTTCACGGATAGTACGATGTAAACTTACTCGAGATCTTATACTCACGATTCCTGTACTATTCGTCCTCCTAAACCAAAGAAAAAGAAAAAAACCTAATTGATCGTCCGAATTACAAAGCATATTTCGGGACCAAAATCGTAGTGTAAGGATAATTGCTTAATTAGCTAGAGATCGTGGACGAACGAACGAAAGTAACACGACAACGTGCTAAATGGCGTGAATGCTTGATAGTGAATCTTCAGATAAACAAGTCGACTTAAATAGTGAGGATCAGCATCCAATGTTGAATGATTTATCTACAACTCAAAAGTCTTGTGTTTCCGTAATCAATCATTTTCAGCTAAGTATTAACTCCTCTTCATTCTGTCTTACTTTAGTGGTATGAAGCAAGCCTGCTGAATGCATATGCTTAAAAGATTAGTGAATTTCGATCAATTTAGCCCATTAGTTGGAGTAGTATTGTAACAATAGAAGGTAGGACACAGAAGCCAAGGTATACTTTCAAGTGATCAAACTTCTGTTTATATATCTACAGTTTATATTCTTTAATCAGTCACTGAGCGTGTGATTTCGTTTTACATCAAACGACATGAAGTTGAATGTTCAAATATGCATAGTATTCTGTTTCCGATGCAGTATTGAACTGTGGGAAAGTGTTCTGTCGTCTCTGACTTCAAACAGAATATTCAAATACATATATCGTATTCTGTTGTTAATGCCGAATTAAACTGTGGGGATATTCGAAAATAACATCCCGTTGGTACACCAACACAGTATTATGTGGTGAGGTGTTCAGTGTTAGGTTAGGAAGGGAAATAAGTCAATCAAGTTGCACTACGGCATTTCTTGAGATATCTGGAGAGCGTGTCCGTTACCTCTTTCAGTATTCGTTTGGGAAAGAGATTGTGGTGATCATTCCGAAACATGCGATTATTCTATGAAGTGACATACACTGTTGGTCTCGTATGATATGGACTACATGGATGTGACATATTTTGTTAAAAGCCAATTGGTGTTATTGCAAAAATCCTGTGTACTGTATTCGCTCCTTATCAGCTTTCTTTTTCTTATATTGGCTTTACATGTATTTTTACCATATTTAATTTCTGTACTATTATGCAGTTTGACAACTTCAGGTGATGCACTATCGTGCATTGTACACTGATAAGTCAATTAACCATTATCTCAAAGGGTTTTTATTTTTTCTGCGCCTGTAGGCAAATTTAGTGCTGTTACTTATATTTTTAAAGTGAGTATACTTCATATTTTAAAAAGTTAACGATTTCTCCTAATTGACTACATTCTCACTTTTTTTGTTAAATACAGTGATTCCGAATTGGTTATATGCTTTAATGGTGGTAAAGATTGTACAGTTTTACTGCATTTAGTCTACGCTGTAGTATGTCGTCGAAATAATACAACTACTAGTGATGCTAAAAGTGAATATAATAATAGCACACCGGATAAAAACTGTATGAAACTTCCAAAACTCTTATATATTCGTTCACATTCCACTTTTCCAGAAATAGAAATGTTTGTTCAAAAAACAATTGATTTGTATTATTTATCAACTAGTAGGATTTTACGACCAGATTTACAACAATGTGATAGTCATAAAAGAGGTATTAGCTCATTGTCTGAGTCTCGTCGCCCAACAGATAATGCTGTAGTTATATATGAAGGACCTATTAAAGATGTACTTGGCAGATTTTTACAAGACTATCCCAATATCAAGGGTGCTTTTATGGGAACAAGATATTCAGATCCTGGAACACGTAAGTGTAATCTTACAGTCGTAGTGATTTGTTTTATTATTAGCTGATTTGTTGTGTGAGAGAGTAAAGCTTTTCGAATATTTTAATGGTTTTCGCATTCGGCATGTATGAGATAAATATCACTGGGGAGGCGTTTTTTCAGAAATTTCATACATTTATTCCCCCTAATGAATTTGAACAAAGCAAAAACTACAGTTTTAGCACTGTTAGAAAGTTTTCTTTCCAGTTTATCGATGAATTTATTTGTCGATTGAACATGCGCATACCATGTTTCGTATATGAAGTTAACGGAAGTGTAGGTGTAAGCGCGATATCGCTTGAAATTAAGTCACGCGTAGATAAAGGCTATCCCGGTCCAGAACAAACAAGAAGCCGGTCACTGTTTCTACGCGTGACTTAATTTCAAGCGATATTGCGCTTACAGTACTTAACGTAGTACTTGACGCTAAACGGATCGAGACCGTACTGAACTGGTCAGTACTTAACGGAGTACTTAACGTAGTACATAACGCTAAAGGGATCGAGACCGTACTGAACTGGTCAGTACTTAACGCCAAACGGATCGAGACTTTACTGAACTGGTCAGTATTTAACGTCAAATAGAAAATCCCGTACTGAACTGGTCAGTACTGAGCGTTCATCGAGAAGAAACTGTGGTGAATTGGCAGCACGCAACGTTGTTGAAAATACATTGTCTTTGGAACAATGCAAACCAGATCAAGGAATCAAATTTCGGAGCAGCAGTCGGAGAGTCGGCAAGTCCTCGTTCGTATAAATGATCATGTTGATAATCTTTCGTGCCCCGGCTCTCATGTCAGTAGTTCGAAATCATCATTATCGCGAGTAACTAGTGCTAAGTCTTCACTTCTAAGGGCGCAGCTAAAAGAGAAACAGCTTCGACAGGAATTAGAGTTAGAGAAAAAGTTGCTAAAGGCTAGACATGATGTCGAAATGGCCGAGCTGCATGTGAAGTTAGCCGCGGACGACGAACGGAACAAACAGGAATATGAAAGAGCCAGTGTCATTGATAACCGGGAGCAGCTAGAACGATATGTGAAAGATTGTGCCGCAATGGTTGGCGGGGACGCTCCTGTTACGGTCGGGAAGAGCGCGGTCGTAGAGAAACTTGACATGCCTAAGGTTGAAATGTCCTATTTTGATGGCAACGGTGCTGACTACTTGAGATTTACCAAGGAATTCGAGTATTATGTCGAGAATAGAGTAAAGGACCCTGGTCAAAGAATGTTATATCTGTTGCACTATTGTAAAGGTCGAGCTAAAGCAGCCATACAGGAATGTGTGATCTTGCGTCCTGAGAGTGCGTACGCGCGAGCTAAGGGTATCTTACAGGATCTGTTTGGGGAGATCCACGTCATCGCACGAAACCGTATTGAAGACATGATTAGAAGCCTACGACCTGTGGCAGAAGATGGAGAATCTCTATCCCGTCTATCAATACAGCTTCAGAATTGCCTGATTGCCCTAACTGAAATGAACTATTTGTCGGACTTAAATTCCGTAACAACTCTCGAGAGAATAGTACGCATATTGCCGATAGCAGTTCGAAGGAATTGGGCCAGACTAGCAGACGCAAGAAATCAAGAAGGGCAAGAGCCATCTTTTCAGGATCTTTGCCAGTTTGTTTCTACAGAGGCAAGAGTGGCACGAAGCCGATACGGACGCCTCGTTTCAGAGGGCTTTAACCGCCCGAACGCCCAAGTTTCACCAAATAGACAGGGTCGTCATGGGGGCACATCATTCGCAATACAGGGAGAAAGGACCCCTGCACCCAAGCGACTGTGCATTCTCTGTAGGTCTGACCATGCTACTGCTTCATGTCAGAAGTTTGTTGGATTAGATGTGCGAGACAGATGGAGCTGCGTCCGCCGCCATAGAGCATGCTTTTTGTGCTTAGAGGTCGGACATCGTATCGATCATTGCGTATCGGGTATAAAGTGTTCCAAAGTTCATTGCAGTGGTAAACATCACCCACTGCTACATGTTGAACCGGTCGTAAATCAAGTGGCAGAACAGGGGACATGTGCTGCTACTATGCATTATGGAACGGCAGTTATGCTAGGTGTGATTCCCGTCAAGGTGCGGGCCCGCGGTAAGGAAACAGATACTTATGCCTTTCTGGATAACGGCTCCGACGTTACCTTAGTTACGAAGGATCTATTGAGCAGCTTAGGCCTAGAGGGCACACCATCGTCTATTACCTTGACAACAATCAATGGGGCGAGTCAGGTTCAGGGCAACATGTGCGAACTGGAAGTCGCATCAATGGATGAAAATGAAGTGATAAGACTTGACAGAGTGTTCGCGTTGCCATCCCTGCCGGTCAATGCACCCTCACTATCGGTATCACAAGAGGCCCGTCGCTGGCCACATCTCCAGGAGTTGCCATTCCGCGAACTTGATGATAAAAGGGTCACGATGCTCATAGGTTGCGATGTTCCCGAGGCGCATTGGGTCCTCGATCAGCGTTTGGGTAGTCGCAAACAACCTTACGCAATCAAGACATTGCTCGGTTGGGTCTTGCTAGGGCCACTTCATGGAAATACGGAAAGAGGCACTGTCAACTACGCTCGAATCAGCGAAGACAGTATTAAAGACGACATCAGAAGTCTACGTGAAGCTGAGCTTAAGGATACTGAAGAAAACGAACGCTCATTTTCTATCGAAGATCGTAAGGCAAGCGAGTTGGTTACTCAAAGCACCGTCTTAGAAAAGGAGCATTACATCATTCCCTTGCCATGGAAAGATCCAACAAAGGTAACGGACAATAATTATGTAGTCGCCATAAATCCGTTACTCAATCTGAAACAGAGGTTATCGTGTGACAAGAACCTTTTAGCACGATATGTGGATGGGATAAATACGATGTTAAAAAATGGTTATGCCCTTCCGGTACCCCCAGAGCAGCTAGCAGCGAACTATCGTTCGAGGTGGTATCTTCCACATCATCCCGTTATGAAGCCGAAAAAGCCAGATAAACTGAGATTAGTTATAGATTGCGCCGCAAACTTTAGAGGTTATTCTTTGAACGATAAGCTATATCAAGGACCTGATACGATTGCCGAGCTTGTTGGTGCTCTGTTGCGCTTTCGAGAAAAGCCTATTGGTGTAGTCGCGGACATAGCTGATATGTTTATGCAAGTGAAGGTGCCAGTAGACGATCGAGGAGCATTACGATTTCTGTGGTGGCAAGATGGTTGGCTAGGCGTTGGCCGCGAGGAGTTATTGCGGGATGCGAGCAATCCGCGGACGGACTTGTCAGAACGGTTACAATAAGAACGAGAAACGGCGAGGTGAAGCGCGATATACGTAAGATATGCCTACTAGAGGGAAGTCATTTGTAAGAGAGCCGGGCACGAGGGTTATTCTGTATAACATGATTCATAAAATCCTAGTCGGATTTTGGGGGCCGGTGTAAGATCAATTCTATTCCCATCCTTGAATCAAGTCAACCTGTCCCGGATCAGCCTAGCGTTGTTGCAACCCAATTATCCATGCCTAACGTGTCTATCCCTGCTTGTTTAATGAACTGTGTGTATGTGTTTTTACCTCGATCCGTTTAGTCAGACAGTTGAACTCATGGCCCAATCAGAGTATTTTGTGAACTGTTATTTTTGCTGACCCATGTCTAACTTTGTACTATTCTGTCGAGTTTATCTTATTTATTGATTTTCATCTGTATTTTCCTACCTGGTTAAGTAGCCAATTAAATTCTATCTTTGTGCCTATGCTCGGTCTATCTCTCTTAAACGCTCTCTGTTTTATGCCATGCCTTACTTGGGTTCATTCTTCTACTGACTGCTTACCTGAACGGTCGTGTCTGGTTCCGGCTAGTTCGCAATTTTGGCTTTAACGTTATTCCGCTCTGATAGCGGTACCTTGCTTTCTGTTAAAAGTTGTGCTTTGTACTCTTGAAACCGTTAAGGTTTGTTGTAAACAGTGACCGGCTTCTTCTTTGTTCTGGACCGGGATAGCCTTTATCTACGCGTGACTTAATTTCAAGCGATATTGCGCTTACAGTAGGTCTAAGTATATCTTGAGAAGCCTATTGCCGAAAGCCCTATACATTTTGAGGACCTCTTACTCCACTGAGTGGTGCATTGTATGCGGTCGACCTGCCCGCACCGTAGCATAAATTTGATTCTGAAACACCAAATCTACCTCAGCAACTAATAGCTTTCAATGTTGACTTCAATTACCCTTGTTTCTTATCGGACTTACGAATCAACTGTATTTGATTCAGTATGGAGAATAAATTGTTGCTCTCTCTTTTCGTCATCAACTCCTAAGCATCAGTGACACTTCGCCATAATCTTTATTACTTTTGAAGAGCTGTAAATTTCTGCAATGTGTTACATGTTAAAACTTCTTTACTGTTTCTAAAAAAAGTACTGTTCAATAAGAGGCGACTATTATTAGATGGTAGATAATAATATTGTGTTTTTCAACACATTGTTTTCTTTTCTTAAGATAACATGGTTCCTATGAAGATGTCAGATCCAGGTTGGCCTCAAATTCTTCGAATCAATCCACTTTTGAACTGGACTTATTCAGAGATATGGAATTTCCTTCGATCTTTATCACTCCCTTACTGCAGTCTTTATGATAATGGGTAATTACTAGGGTTTTTTCCTATTCAGTTGAAGTATATATATATATCAAATATACATGATTGTAAAAGTAATTCCCAATGAAAGGAAAACAGTAAGACGTTGTGTTTTACTGGCGTTTCACCTTTTAATGCTAATAGTTTTATCAAATCATTAGTAAACTAGAGTTTACAAAATCTCAACATGTATATAGTAACTTTATTGTAGTTCTTCTATGTATGGTAATTCTGCGTTGTCAAGTGGATGAATTAGTTAAAATAATAAACATGTACATATTGTTGGATTTAATGAGTGTATGAACTGTAATAACAGCTTGTGTTTACTCAGTGAAAAAATGCTTGCCACATTTCGGTTAACTACATTAGTTTATGGACAAGGCTGTCTACTATCACCAATGCGACAGACAACGGGCAATGAAGAAACAGGCATAAAATGGACTCACACAAAAGACTTGGAGGATCTGGACTTCGCCGATGATATATGTCTGATTTCCCACAAACTGTAAGATATGCAAGTGAAAAGCAACAAGTTGGCAGAAGAAGCATCAAAGATAGGACTTCAAGTGAACATAGATAAAACAGAGGTGATGAAGATTCCTGGCCAACATCAAGAGCAACAAGAGACAACAATCAGCATAAATGGGAGGAACCTGAAAGGAACAGCCTCCTTCACCTACCTGGGAAGTATCGTTTCAACTACAGGCGGAACTGACGAGGATATCAAAGCCAGAATCGGAAAAGCAAGACAAGCTTTCATTACTCTCAAATCTGTGTGGAGGTCAACAGCACTCAGCATCAAAAATAAGATCCGGATTTTCAACTCCAATGTAAAGTCAGTGCTTCTATACGGATCAGAGACTTGGCGAGTTATAAAGAGCATCTCCAACAAACTTCAGACCTTCATTAACAGTTGTCTTCGCTCAATACTCAAGATCAGATGACCGGCCAGAAAAGATCAGCAACAGGGATCTCTGGGAGCGAACCAATCAGGAACCGATTGTGAAACAAATAGGCAGGAATAAATGGAGATGGATTGGCTGGCCATACTCTGAGGACACTAACCATCAAGTGACATCACTAGACAAGCCCTCGAGTGGAACCCGAAAGGGAAGCGGCGAGTTGGTCGTCAGTGCAAGGGTGACTTGGAGGAGGTCATGCGAGGAGGAGCTGAAAGCATGTGGACAGACCTGGAGCGGGGTGAAAAAGTTGGCAGAAAACAGAAGGCAATGGAGGTACGCAGTTGAAGCCCTATGTTCCTCTAGGAACTAAAGGATACAATAATTATTATTATGGAAGGAAGTTAGATCCTAATTAAATTCTGTTTTAACCCGTCATTTCTATTCAGATAATCCATATTCCATTTTATTCAAAGTGTTTCTGCTGTGAGACGTCCTTTGTGGTTTCTTAATTTCGTCTAAGTAATTTCAGTATTTCAAAATATTGATAATTCTTATAGTAAAATTTATAAAAAACACATGTAAACGAACAACATTCACCAGTGGGGTAGAGAAGGTCGGGTGTGAGGACAGGTACTGGCCGATGATATTGGCTAGTGTTAGGCCATATCATGAATCGGCAGAAGTTAGAATTCATGGGCTGATCATTAGATTGGGTCTCAGTGACTGAATGGTCAACGTGTTCCCCTCGTAACCGGAATGTCCTGGTTGCAAACACTTTTGGTGGGTGCGTACTGATAAAGAGTCTTGAACTAGGACGAAACAGCCGTCCAGTACTCACAGGTTTTCCAATGGTCATCTAAACGATGTCAGCTCATGATAAAATCCCGTAGTCAATCAAGTTAAATCCTTGCAAACCAACACTTGAATATCGTCTTCAATTAGATCTCATCAGGCTTAACTCTATTCTAGATAACTTCACAAATGAATATTAAATATGAACCAATCACAGTGACATGTCAATAGGACAATTTAATGTGCATATAAATTGTACAATTAGTCAATAATAAAAACAGTAACTCTAAAAATATTCTTTTCGATCTTATACATCCATAGTAATGAAAGAGGGATCGGTATTGACAAAATTTGTAGTTTTTATAAAGGTGACATCGAAACATTGACATCAGAATTCCAAAAGTGATCTGCAAATAGATTGTAGTCCCAAACATGCGTGTGTGTGTGCGGATCGTAATAAGTATAATTGTAACATCAAATTGAACACCAATATTACAAAGTAAGTGATTAAGATTATAAGTTTCCAGACCGTGTTACGAACTTCCTGGAATAATTTGAGCGCCGAGTCAGGTTGATTCATTATAAATTATTTAAATTAATCCCAGTGTGTTTAAGAAAATCAAAACAAGATTTTTCTGTACGTTTCGCTGTGTGAGTCACAGCTTCTTCAGTAGATTTATTCGGATTTTCATTAATCATCAAAACATATAGTCAAAAATTTTTCCATAAATTGAAGTCATAATACTTTGATAAAGCTATAGCATTAAACAGCGAAACGTCATTAAAAACAATATCGTTTAGTTTTTCATTTATTGGGAAATACAAAAACCTTTATTTATAATAAATTGAAGTCAGTTTATTTGAAGGTCATTTGTCCATGGACATTTTTACCAATAGAACTGTTTAAGCAGCATCATATATTTGTAATGACTAATGTCAAATTGTTATTGTGTACATTTTACTATAGTTAATTTGTAAGGATTAGGTCTGTACGATTGTGTGTGTATGTTTGTGTGGTTAATATTGACAGCCAATATATAGTAGCGAATTCTCATGATCATGTTCATACTAACTTCATACAAACTTCATATGAATGAATGTTCATGTAGTAGACGTGGGGATAGAGAAAATTTGGGATAGGTGGTTACGGTTGTGTGTGTGTTTTATGTATGTCAGTGCATAAATTAAAAAAAAAAACTTAGCATTGTGTGTAAACTATTGAAATATAATTATAATTTATCAGATAGGTACGTTCAAACAGGAAACAAAAGGTTAGTTAATGCCAGTGTAATATTGATGGGTGGGGGATTTAATATGTGTAGGATGGGGAGCCATGTCAAAAAAGCAACAATGTAATGAGGTGTTTATGAATTTTAAGACTCCACAGCGGGCCGTTGAAGTATTAATTATTGGACCTGTTTCTTCTGTATATAGAGCACCGGTTGTTGTAGGCGGATTGCAATAGCAGTTTATTTAGACCCGTTAGATTATAGAGGAAGATTCTTCAGTACTAGTTTTATGGCCGGTTTGAGCGTGGTGATCCAATATCGAACTGTGTATGATTCTCACTACACCTTTATTTAACCATACTGTCAGTGTTTCTGCGCACGGAAAATGAGCATTTTTATTCAAATGATGATTCTAGGATGAAATAGCTCTCCATTACTCCCTGATTCTTCAATGGTTCTCTAACTGACGTCAACAGGTGGTTTAACCTAAAACAAATTCTGTCAATGACAAAGGTAAAAAAAGTGATGCGATCCGTGAATAATGAAAAAACAGTATGGTTAAACAAACAAATATTTAGGCAGACGTAGTCGATAAAAGCCAAGAAAAAAATTGTCCTACTTAGTAATGCTGTATTGTAGGAGAAGTAAATAAACTATGCTGTAATGAAAGTGTGATAAGATTAAGGGATGAAAAATCATAATCAGTTGGTTAGGTCTTAATTAACTAAGGGATGGATAATGGTTGTACGAGCTCCTTTTGAATGCATAGTTAATGACTGATAGTTCGATTGCCTATAACCTCAGCTTTATGTAGTAGATGAATATGGGGTCCACTGGAAAGATCCGGTGGGATGCGACGAATCGTCTTCAATGCTTTCATTGTCTCTACTAAATGACAACTACCAACTAAATATGACAAAACGGAGTTACGTATTTTTTTGTCGGTGCTTTGCCAAACCAAAATCGGAAATGTTTAGTAACATGTTGGCTAAGATGTGGTGCAGTACCCCCAACATAACTATCTCCACAGAAGCGGTTGAATTGATAAATACACTTAGATGCGGCAGAACTATCTAGCTTATTCCTCGTTTGAGTTCCAATCATTTGTTGACTAGAAAATGAAAAACATATGTTTTACGTATACTTCTGGCTGGTCTCTGCAATGAAATCTCATTTGACAAGTCCCTATTAAGTTGTAACTTAATAAATAATAGTTTCTTCCGTGCGGTCATTGTCTCTTGTTTCCTAATCAGTTTTTTTCATTTTTCTTAATGTAGCTACTCCAAATTTCGAAAGTGTTAAAGTCAATATTTTGGTTTCATTCTATAGAGTGTAGACTTATGAGCAAAGATTTTCATTGGGTTCCTTTCGTTGAGAAATAGAAGATTATTTAGCATTATTGTGTATCATAAACCCAATGTCCAAATCGTCAGGTTTGAACTTGTTCTGGAAATTTATGTATTTAATTTACACCCGAGTGAAGATTTATGATTATCTATTTAGAACAGTTATTGCTGATATTTACATATTTTAACGATATGTGTTCTATATACAGAAGTAACAGTAAATATAATTGTTATCAGTCTATGAATGTCGAGTTTAATTGAACTATTGAATAAAACGTGCGTCGGTGGTATAGCGGTTAGGACGCTCACCGACCATGCACATGGTCCGGGGATCGATCCCCAGCCGACGCACTCCTTTACCTCGCTAAGCCAGAAATAATGCTGGTAAAGAGGAAAAGGTTGGGCATGAGGCTAGCAACCCCATCCTGTAAAATAAACATTGCTACAGAAACTTCAAGCCACTAGGTTGAAGCCCTATGTTCCACTGGGGAACGTCAGGGAAAAATAATAATAAATATATTGAATAAACCAAAGCCAGTTGAAAGTAACCACAGGCAACACTAGGCAACTCTTTAGACTCATCAGGGAAACGGGTGGGAGAAGGCAAATCATAAGTGAGACTATTTCTGAGAAAAATGGCTCCTTAATTAGCTCTCAGGATAGACGCCTTGAACGCTGGAAAGAACACTTTGAGGGACAATTTAACTTGCCTACAGCCACACTGAACCTCCCCGACATCCAGAACACACCCGAATGGGATATAGACACTGGTCCGCCGTCTGTAAGTGAAGTCAAAAAAGCTATCAGTAATTTGAAACGAGGCAAAGCGGCAGGACCCGACGGAATTATTCCGGAGGTGTTTAAATATGGGGGTGACATACTAGTTTGTAGATTAACTGAGGTACTAGGCAAAGTCTGGGAATCAGAGACAGTGCCATCAGACTGGGGTAAGTCACTTATTATACCGATATTCAAGAAGGGAAACAAGTCCTCGTGTGATAATCATAGGGGGATCAGCCTAACGAACATAGTCTCTAAAATCCTAGGCTCAGTAATCATGCATAGACTAAGCAGAACTCGGGAGGAACAGACAAGGGAAAATCAAGCAGGCTTTAGACCAGGTAGAGGGTGCATAGATCATATCTTCACTCTTCGACAGATTCTAGAACATAGACACACTTTTCGGCGTCCAACAATTGTCATATTTCTTGACTTGAAGGCGGCCTTCGACTCCGTGGATCGAAAGGTACTATGGCAATGTCTGACTGTGAAGGGAGTGCCAAGAAAGTACATTGCACTAATCAAGGCACTCTATTCAAACTCACGTAGTCGTGTAAGGGCTTATGGGGAATTGTCATCTGAATTGGTAACAACCAGTGGTGTCCGACAGGGATGTCCACTTTCCCCATTTCTGTTTAACTTCATCATAGATATGCTGATGGAAGTATCCTTAACTGAACGTAATGACTTAGGAATCGACTTGTTACCAGGGAATAGTCTTATGGACTTAGAATATGCAGATGACATAGTCCTGTTAGGGGAGGATGCTGACAAAATGCAGAGTCTTCTGAACACCTTGAGCAGCAATCTTCGTATGTTTGGCATGCGATTCGCCCCTACAAAATGTAAGATGCTGCTACAGGACTGGACCACGTCAACTCCTAACTTAGTGATAGGGAGTGAAGTGATAGAACATGTTGACCACTTCACCTATTTGGGAAGTTGTATTAGCACCAACGGACTGATTGGCGATGAAATCTCAGCACGGATCCGAAAAGCTCGAGCTGCTTTCGCTGACTTACACCATCTCTGGCGTAGGCGTGACATCCGGTTATCAACCAAGGGACGTGTGTACTGCTCATCAGTTCGCTCCGTCCTTCTCTATGGCTCTGAAACATGGCCAATACGCGTTGAAGACATGAAAAGGTTGACTGCTTTCGATCATAGATGTCTGCGATCTCTGTCTCACGTTAGGTGGTTTCACAAGGTAAGTAATGTTGACGTTAGGCGTAGAGTGTTGGGCAAAGAGGGAAAATCAATCGACGAGGCTATAAAGTTACATAGACTAAGATGGCTAGGTCACGTGCTGCGCATGCCTAACCACCGCCTTCCCCGACGGGCATTGCTAGCTGATATAGGTTCAGGTTGGAAAAGAGTCAGTGGTGGCCAAACAAAAACATGGCCTCATCAATCCATGAAATCCTTGACAGTTAAACTGAGTCAGGTAGGGAGATGCAGACTCCCGGGTTGGGGCCCTCGGGACTCTAGGAATCAATGGCTGGAGACAATAGGTGACATGGCTCAAAATCGTTGTCAATGGCGCAGATGTATTCAGTCTCTGTAATCTTTCATATTCCTTTCTACCATTACCCATTCTGTTTCACTCTTATACTTGTCAGACTGTATTGATTCTCTTCACTCATCTTCTTGTCTACCTCTGTGTGCTATTTGGAAGGTGGCAACTCGAACTGGTGCACTTCGGTGCCAAGTTCTATGTTGAATCCAGACAGACAGACAGAACCACAGGAAACAGAGTACAATGAGGGTGTGCTGCGGAACCCTAATGTTCCACTCGGATTACAAGGAAAGAGTGGTAGTAATCGAACTAGAGTTTTCGAGCAAAACAAGCGTTGAATACTTTAGATCTACTGCTATATATATTCTATGTGGTTTATTATCTGAGTCAATACTCTTTTAAAACTCATGTTTCGATATAGAAATCGAGCCCATGATTAGGTGTTCGTCAAGAAATACTTGAGGTTGGAGAATATGAAGCCGTTTATTACTAATTTGTATCATGTTAGCACTCTTGTCATTTCTTCTAAAGAATAAAAAAACTGTTTTCTCTACATTATAGATACACATCACTTGGTAGTATGGAAGATACACATCCAAATCCTCAACTAAGATATATTACAGAGACTGGACGCATTGCATATCATCCAGCTTATAAATTAGAGGAAGAAAATTGTGAACGTGTCGGTCGTGTGAAAGAAAACAAAAACAACGGCATAATTAAAATTAACTTAGTTTAAACCCTCTTTTTTGAATAATTTTGTAACGTATTATCTATTTTGATAGATTTTTCAATGGATGCAAAGAGTTGTTACTTAAATTATACATTTGCTGGAAAGATGTGTGTGTGTGTGTTTGCTTGTTTGTTTTTTTTCTAAGTAACAAGTAACCAAATCAAGTAAAATATGAAGAGAAAGTCAGTCATTGGCATACATGTGATGATACTTAGTCGCACAATGAAATGGGATAAAAATTCATAGTCTTAATGTCTAAGATAGTTAAGTAGAGACGTCGGTGTCTGCACTTTTGTCTTATTGTCTAGACGACAAACACACATACAGTAAAAATGACTTCACGCTTTACCACTGATATGAAAAAATTGATGTTATCAACGAAAATTGAAATCGGGAAACAGTAGTACTGTAAAGACGAAATGATCTATGAAGCTAGAAGGCAAGCGCATTGTAGGTACATAAATTTGGTATACCTTATCTTTAAGTCTTTATTTGCACATTATTTGCAAATTGGTCGAATATTACCACAGTCGATGACTTGTTGGATTCTGTACAGAGTTGTAACGTTCTTCTCAAAGTTCTCATCTTAGACTGCAATTTCCTGTCTTAACCTCTTCACTAGTCGTTCCCTGTAAAAAAAATTAATTTTTTCTTTTCTTTTTTAATTTTACTTTTAGTTTGCTTTGGCTTTAATAATTCATTCACTATTATCACTCTCATATGCTCCGTTTGTACATTTTCACACCCTCTTCACACTTGTTAACTTGACACTCAAATACCTTTATTCTCACTCAATAGTAATTGTAACCTTATCAAATTTTTAACTTTGTCCCGTTGAGTACCACGTAATTTACAACTTTTAATTCCCACTCCTCAAGCCACTTCCGAGTAATTATATCAATTATGTCACCCCATATTACTCAATAATAGACCACTATATATTTGTTTTGGTAAGTATAAATACTACCGTACAGCCTCTGAAGATGATTTCATCGATAAAGAAAATTTTCTTCGCTGAATTTGTCTCTTATTTTGTTAAAGATGTATAAGTGCTGTGCAAACATTGAGTAATGATGTCATACATTCTTCTTCAAAGATGTTTATATTTTATACAGAGATATTTCTTAAGAGATTGTTCTGATAATTCGTTATTTTAGCATCCTCGAAGATATTCCTCAACCATTTTTTTATTCCTTTTCGTTCCCAGTGAAACGTTGGGCTTCAAGCGAGAGGCTTGAAGTTTTGGTAGCAGTGGTGATTATTTTTACGGGATGGGGTTGCTAGCCTCGCGCCCCACCAACCTTCCCTCTTTACTAGTCTTATTACTGACTTAGCTAGGTAAAGGGGTGCGTCGGTGACCGGAGATCGAACCCCAACCACCTGCGTGGTTGGCAAGCATTCTACCGCTGTGCCACCGACGCACTTTCCTCAACGATGCTAATCATTTAATTGAATAGTTACCCTGTAATCCGATATTCACTCACGTAAATTACAATGATCTTCCGCACTTGCACATGAAGAGACAGTCTGGTTCACTGTCTTAGGCAGATATCATTGTTCAAGATGACTGTAATCTCTCCTATCTTGTATTAACGCAGCATATTTCAAAGTGCAGGATGACTGCACTTGGTATAGGTATTTGTGTAAATGACAATGGGATATAACAGTGTAAACAATTTTGCTGAATTGATTAAATCAAAGCCCAAATAAGAGTTGACGTCAATAAAGGAAAGTAAAAGTACACCGTGACACTGATTTGAAATATGTAGATAAAAATTTGTACATTTTTTTAGGTGAAAGGATGTATTGTACTTTTATTTGAACTAATATACCATAAATGTTTCAAGAAAGATATTATCACTCACCGTGGTCACGTGAAACTTTAACCAAAGGTTTCAGATAGATAGGATTTATGGTGATTTTGTAATCGAAATGTGAACGACAACCAATGTCATGTCGTGATAGTTGTACATCAAGTGACAGGTTATACACATACACTATTATTTAAACTATGGCACGTATAACTAAGTAGTTATCTATAAAGTTGTTTCTAAATGTAATCTCGACAGAATAAAGCAATAACGACAGAGTTATTGGTCTCTCTGATGATAAGAGACACTTTCATGGAATCATTTTATTTTTATATTACACAAATGAAACGAGAGACTTTTAAAATACCTAAATTTATACTCATATATACCAAAACATTTAAAAGTATTATCAGGTGCATTGCATATTCTAGAAAAAACAATTACAAAATAACCGGAAATTGTAGATTCAATTGCTGGTTCTTATGTTATCACATCATTAGAAAAAAGGTATCGTTAGAATTGTGATAGGATCACAGGATCTATCTTTGACGCATTGTCTAATCATATTTCGGCTGGTAATATGATTAGACAATGTATCGAGGATAGATTACCGCTTTTGTCCACATCTGTGTGCATTTACTCTTTTACCTCCTCTTGTGGAGCTGTTTGTATTGGACGTCGTAAGCGTAATCTCCGAAAACGTGTAGTTGAACACTATCCGGTTTGGTTAATGAAAGGAGAACGTAGAACTGCGAAGTCGTCTATTTGTGATCACCTGTTAGAGTCTGGTCATTTAGCCCCACGTGATTCATCTTTTAAAGTTATGTACATGGCAAAATCGAATCGATCCAAAAGTTTACGTTTTCTTCACTTATTCATAGCCGAAGCTTTAGCTGTACATGAACAGAAACCTAAATTATGTGTCCAAAAACGTTTTGTCAAACCCCTTTCTTTACCTTGGTCATAGTAATGTTCTTTCTAGTTTTTATTTTATTTTATCACTTGAATTCTTTCCACTTCACTTCACATCTTCATTCTTATCTTAATCGTACTCCTAATTTTAAAATTTTTAGACAACACTTGATATTTTTTATATCAATTCACTTATAAAACAATCTTTAATAATTTTGTAATTTATCCACTTCAACTCCACCCCTTATAACATTTTAATTATCGTTATTCTTATCACATATATATGCAATAATATAGCTTGACTCGGTCTTAGATCCTTTTCTGAAACTTTTTATCACTGAAGATTCCGAAAACTGTTGTTTGCTTATAAAACCAACTTACAGTCACACATCCCTACTTCTTCGTCCGATGTGTATTCAATTTACACGTATATTACCACACTTATTTGTGAGTCGATGAATGAAATGGTGCTTCTTGGTCATCTAGCCTATTTAAATAATCTCTATATTTCTAAGTAGAATGCATTCCTGTTAATTTACTCTTTCCCGTAATTTTGAAATACAAAAACACATATTTACCGTTATTAGACTTCGGAGTTAGTTAGAACAGACCAGGCGACTTGTGTTGATTCTTGAACTACACACTATTCTGAAGATTCAGTATTTTTCTGCAAGATATTCATTACAGGAGCTTGTATTAATTCCACTGGTAAGAGGATATATGTTTGTTCGACTACAGCATCCAGACTTTTGTATAATTACCCGTAAGATAATCTCGAAGAAGTAAATGTACTGGAAAGAATAATTCTCAAATCGTTATTTACAATACAATATGGCTGAAGAAATGATATCACTTGTTTTCCAGCAATATGATGAGGAAAGACTTACTTGTTATAAACACTATTCTTAGTGAAGGTGAGAAAACCCCAAAGTATCAATGCGTCTCATGTGTTTTTGCTTCTTCAGTTAATGCCTTAATCCCAGTATATAATATCCAAGGTAGGGCTTTACACCTCAACATCTCGTCATCGAAACACTTTAAAGCTGTTCTATGTGACATTATGTTATCACTTTCAAATTATACTTAGGGATGACATTCTTTATTCTTCAGAGTAAGATAACGTTGACTACTAACCCAGTGAATACTGATAAAACCGTCCTCGAAAAGTATACATTAGTATACTATTTCTGAAGTCCATTACCGTACTCCAGTATCTAGACCCTTCTGTCAATTTATCTAAGTGACTGTTTTTCTTTGTTGTCATTAATATACAGTAGAAGCAAAAGAGATAATTCTCGCTCTACTGTTGCACGTTGAAATCATTGATTTATCTCTACACACCCAAACATGATGTCTAAGTAAAATCAACAAACACCTACTTCAATATTCTCTGTAGCTCTTGCGCCAATAAAATATTTCCGTATGCTTCGGTAATTTATTTGTAATTATTCAAAGAGCCTGATTAATGAACAAACAATATTATTCCGGATAACTACATCAGTTACTACAGTTATATACACCTGACGGTTAGAGCATAATTGACCTTGAGGACGTGAATGCTTTTTTTAAAAAAAATACAACCTAAATTCCAAGAGATATATTTAAATAGATTGTTAAGAGATTACAGTTCAAAACACGTACATGTGATAACATGCATAAATGTGGCACTAAATTTCAAAAGTACGTGGTCATGAATAGCAATAAAATATGTAGTCATAAATGCACATGTCTAATTAATGTTCACCACGCATTTTATTCAGAATAATTCTCAACTTTGTACGAATAAGTAATAATAATGATAATAATAATAATAATAATAATAATAATAATAATAATAATAATAATAATATGAAAAAACAGGCCAAGACAATGGTGTAGGAAGTTGTATGTTTGTAAGGGAATAACGAAGGATTAAATTTAAAAGATAGGTTTGTTTGTACAAGTGTAATAATAAATGAGGGATACAGGGAATTTATAGACAAGATGGAAGATCACACCAAAGATGTATAATGTAACTCAGTATTTATAAATTTATAGAAGACCAAGGTAACAATAGCGAGTGAACTTGTTTTTTGTTTTGTACACAAAGTCCTCAGTGTTTTAAGTGAATTGCTATCGTTTCTCCTGTTTGAAGTATTCGGTATCTAGTGTCTTTAGGTTGTTTATTCCTCACACAATAGAGAACAGAAAAGGATTCTTCAGTGTCCTTATGATCTGTTTAAACCAGATTTGCCAATGTCGAACAGTTAATGTTTTTTATTATACCTTTATTTAGCTACACTG